TTGATATTATCCATCGTCTAGTAAATATAAAACGTAAAACGACGTTTCGGAGATGGGATTAGCTCTATCTAGTGGGCCCAACTGAGTAGGAACCTGAAGACGGAGATAGAGTCCCATCTCCGAAACGTCGTTTTACGTTTTATATTTACTAGACGATGGATAATATCCAAAAAAAAAATTATTCAATTGACGGATATTCCTTGTTCACATATTCTGTTCGATCCGATAGACCGAGCTGTTCCCAATGTGTGGACATACGAGGCTCGTCCTTAAAGTAAGTTTCCCTGGTGCCGTTTACAGAAACAAAACACAATTTTATGGAAATATTTATTGCAACAGATACAGCAAGTGTCCAGCTATTTTTCAACATATTCGCCACCGGAATTGAGACATTTGTCATACCGTGGGACCAACTTTTTAATACCTGTGTCGTAGAAGTCTGCCGCCTGGGATTGGAACCACTGTGTGACAGCCATCTCCGCCTCTCTGTCATTCTCAAAACGCTGACGCTGACGCTGACCGGACAGGAATTTCTTGAGGTGTAGGAAAAGATGGAAATCACTGGGAGCGAGGTCCGGGCTGTAGGGTGGATGATTAAACACCTCCCAGCTGAACTTCTGCAGGAGACTTGCTGTCCGTCGAGCCGTGTGCGGCCTAGCGTTATCACTGACCGCACTTCACAGTCGGCGGGAGCTGGAATAAGAACCTCCATCTTCAACAGCTGCAACGATGCTACTGTGAGAACGCGGGAAGTGCCGTTAGTGCATGCGCCATGCTACGTCATTGCTCTATCACGTACGCACAGTCGCTTCGCTCAATATAAGGTTTGCTAGCTGTGGGACGAGTGGGAAACTTACTTTTGGGACGCGCCTCGTAGAATAGATTAAATATTTGTAATAGGCTGCCGTGTCCGTAGTTCGATTCTAATACCCCTGGAATGGCCGAGGTTTTGGGGGAAATGTGCTCCTCGAATGCTGAGAAGTGACTCACGCAAGTCTGGGGTGCGAAAGAACATCAATTTTTTTACTGTCTTTTTCAGACGCTTTCTTGTGGAAGGGTTTATTGATATTGTTGATATATGAGCTTACATTTAACTCTTCTACTGTGTATGTTATCCGAAAACCGTGAATTTCATACTTATTGAAGTGTGAGTGTGGCCTTTACCAATACATTTGCCACGCGGCCAAGCTCTTAAAACGTACTGATATTTATAGAAGAAAGATAGGTTCATTTTGTGACACAAAGATCACTATTTCCAGGGTTGTTGCGCCGTAAGGCGTGGTAGAAATTGGCCGACGTTTCAGAGGTGCTTACCGCTTCAATATTCAGGGCGAAGTTTGGAGTAACTGAGATACTACGTATTTAAATATAAATACAGGAATATGTACATAATTCGTAGTTTACATACACATATTTCTTTCCCAAAAGCTATCAAGGTAGATCCAACAACCATTCAGGGTAGGAGCCAGCACTGTCGAAGTCTGACGGCTTTATAGCAGTAGCTATTACGCGGCCCTCTGTCAGTCAGTTAAGTTCTTTTCCGTATTTTTCGAAACTGCCTTTAGCAGCAGAAATGGAATACAATTGACGATTTCCTTCAGATGATCGGAATATCGGAAAATGCCACTTAGGATCAGACACTACATATCTTCAGCTTGAGAAATATATGTATATGGGTGTCTGACATAGGCTGTCAATTACGTATTGACTGAATCACAAATCGCGAAGAAATTTCAGTTTAAATCGCATTTGTAACTAGGCATATACATCACTTCGACTTGGTTTAACATTCAGTAACTTCGCATTTTGTCCAAATGTATTTATGGGTTTATTAAAGTACGCAGAAATTATTTCCTTAACAGATGCTTGTAATGAAGATGTGTTTTCTAAGAGGTACGGGCTGATACGATGTCGTGGAGCGTGTTAGGAACCCCTTTGAAATGATTTTGCCATCACTGCTGCAGAAGTTGTATCGTGAGAAGAGCCTTTAAACGACAAATTAATATTTGTTGCCCGTCTCCGAGCGCACATATTGTTAGCCGCAGATGCAGTCTGTACGAGAAGCTGAGGTTACATTACTTTTCCTTCCAACACAAGATAGCGGTAAACCGAGCAGTCAGTCTAGAGTAATACAGTCGACACTGCAGAATTTTCATCCGTGGTCCACTTTCAGTTTTCCTCGTCCTCAGCATGGTTCTTATCTTTTGGCAATTGGCTGCTTCCCCAGACTAAAAGAATTTGTTGGTCACTAGCTACGTATGAGAGGTTCAGGGCTGGTGGGTGACTTCGAATCATTCATACTCTCTTTTATTTCTTTTGCGTTCTGCACTTATAGGTTTCAAAGCTACAGACATTAGATACCACATCGGAAACATTCTAAATAAAGACTAAAATTATTTACATACGAGGTGCGATCGGAAAGTTTACAGACTGCGAGTATAAAAACCCGTACACTTATCTCAGGTATTAAATTAATCTATCACCCTCGAAGTAGACAAAGAAAGATTTCCAGGGATGCTTCCAGGCTTGGCAGCGGCGCTGGGATCGTTGTGTTCACTCCCAGGGGAACTACTTCGAGGGTGATGGATTAATTTAATACCTGAGATAAGTGTACGGGTTTTTATACGCGCAGTCTGGAAACCTTCCGATCGCACCTCGTACGTACGAAATCTTGGCCGGGAAGCATGAACGTAAGAGATTACTCTGAATTTGGATAATATTAGAATAATAGAGTGAGATTTCAAGTTCTCACGGCTGCGAGTGTATGAGTGTCTTCTGGGACACTTAATTGTGTAGTTTAGTAGAAATTTATTGATATTTGAGACGCTCCTACTGCCTCCATCATCAGGGCGGTCGCAATTAAAGACTTTTCTGTTATTTCTCATAAAGTAGTATCTGAATTGCCACAATGATCTCACTGCTATCTAGCATTGAGGATAATAAATAAATGTGTAATTTCGTAACCACTGGTGTCCCTAATGCGCCTTAATATAATTCTGCACACGCACAACACTATCTGATTTCGTCTTCACCTGATCCAGGTTTAATTAGATAGAAACAAGCATTTTGCGAAAAATACTAGGCAACATTTGTCTGGTTCAGAAAGTCGTATGGTGGCCCTAACAATACGCAGGTCCTGAAGATTTCTCCACTTGTGGGAACAGTACATTGATCATTCAGTTGGATCGTTGTGAATCCTCCACAGGCCTATCGATCCTTTCCAATAAATACTTAACGCGTTTAATCACACTGCTGATTTATTAGGACACACTTCACTCTGACCCAGTGCAGAGAAGTCCTCATGATTGTTTGCGTAGCTCGGAGTCGATGGTCTGTTCAACTGAAACGAATTTCAAGCGTAATTACGACACTGCATTCAACACGGGTCCCATCCCGTGGCACACCTGTAAATAGCTGGCACATCTAGACTATTGTAGTGCATCGCGACTAGTCACGGAGGACATGACGTTTCTGTGTTGTCAACTGAAAGACGTCTTATGGCCTTACGAGTCGTAACACCGTGTGGTTTTGTAGGAGATTACCAAGGTTCATCTTCAGTTTGAGTCAGATAGCCAGTTTTCGCGATTGATATACAAGTCAGTAACCCTCTGAAGATGGTGGGAATGGTAACCACTACACCGTGAAGTTTGTTTGGACTAGAAAGTTGGTTTGCTCAGTCCAGAAAAATATTCTAGAAAAAGAAAAAATCTAGCTTCAGATTTGTCATGCACGAACGTCTGTCCAGACTGAGGATTCTGTAAAAAAATTTCTGTGATTTTAATTTTTGTAGATTTGCTAGTAGAAATTATTTTATACTGGGCAGGAACCTTCGTAAGCTTCTGTTATTTTTACAAACGTCACACAGCTTACGCTTCGTGATCTTAATTTTCAGCATTGTCTCTTATCACACTTTGCATTCTTTCGAATTTATCGACACTGTGCCTCCTATTAAACTTTATTTCCAGATTTATCACGAGAAGAGTTCGAAACGCTTTTTAAACAGAAAAGGTTTTATCGTTTTTGTTAGTGGGAAAACTTTTAGACTTAATTAAAAATTAAAGTTGTAACCATGTATCATTGTTTCGGAAGAGAATTATAAATTTTCATTTTATACACTTGCTTTCATTAACGTTGCTTCTCATGAAGGAATATGGTAAACATAGCAAAACCATATTTAAATAACAAAGTTTTGTAAGGAGACTGGTTATCTCAAGTTAACACAACAAAGTACTCGGTGATGTAGATCAGAAATGAGGCACTTGAAAGTCACTTTGCTGAGCCTGGAGTACGTTAAAGAAACAAGGTTTTTGAACTACTCCAAGACACGGTCGAGTGCTGGGCTTTTTTGATGGCTGTGATGAACTTTCTGGTTCCTTAAGAACGGAATTACTGGTTTAACTTAATGACTATTAATTTCTCAAGGAAAATCATTTTCCATTTTATGTATCTAGTTACGTTTATTAATTAATACGACGTTACTTCTGATATTCTGAGTAGAATAATAAGTTATTTTGTTACTTTAAATAAGTTCTAATATAAAAAAAATCACTGTAAAAATATTTGTTCGAGGAAAATATGAGATTTTCTGCTAGATTGAAACCAGTGTTCATCTGTGTATCTAATATGTTATATCATGTGATTTGGAATAATTTTTATGACTATTGGCAGTGGTGAAAAGCTTTCCTGATATGTTAGAGCTTAATTACATATTTATGACGAAAAGTTTCTATGAAAAGAACATCTTTTGTTAAAAGCATAAATGGAAAATCAAATACAAAATTAAGATCCGGCCACGGAAATTTCTATGCAAGAAACTTACAATAAACACAATCTCTTATCTGTTTGACAATTTGAATGATATGGTGTAATGACGACAGAACGCGGCAGTTCCTTACGTTGGGAGACTTCGATCGTCTAGTTGCTAGGGCGAGGAGAGCGGAGTGCTAACACGGAGTTCCGAATAGCTAGCAGGGCAGTAGCTTCTGTGGTGGACCTGACGTTCTGTACGTCATTCCGGTCCGTGCGTGAGTCGTGGTTGGTTACTCGTTCAGGTCGGAAACTTGCAATGTAAGATACACGAAATTTGAACGGGAACAAACATTCTTAACATGACACGTATTATTACTAAAAGAAAACCAATTTTTGTTTTACAGGCAATCAGTAGGTACGTAAATACAGTGCCGTAAATCTGCAAACGATACTTAATGCACAAATATAGGTTATAAGCAGTTTTAAGACTGTTTTGCGATGTTTTGTTGTTCATCCGCGGTTTGAAGAGTTATAGTAAAAGAATGACAGTTTGATTGTATTCTGTGAGCGAAGTGAGCGGGAAGACAGAAGTGTGTTACGGAGTGGGGGATGAAGTACACGTGACGAACATCGCCACGTGCCAAGCCACGTCTGTCATATCATCTTTTCGGTAAGCAATCCGCACAAAGAACCAGAAACTGTTTGAAGCTTGTATAAAGTATTTTAAAGAATCCTAGCCGTACCTCAAAGAAAACAGCTATTCACCATTAGAAAGATTAATAGTTAATGATATTTAAGGAAATAATTTCAGTTTGCGAAATGTAGTTATTGTTTATTGATGTGGTTAAATTGGGTAAAATTGGTTTCGTTTTTTGTGAATGTATGCAAATGCAGATGTTAATTTCGGATACTTAACTATATGCTTTCAGGCAGAATGAAAGCAAATTTTCGAATTAACATATCGATTAGATATAGATTATGTACATAACAAAAATATTTTTATTACGCCGCCTGGAGGCAGGGAATGATGATGAATCTATAAAATTATTACCATTTGTACAGGTGAATGGCACATCTTAACATCTTGAAATTTTGCACATGAATAATTATTTTTGACTTTTCAAAAATTAATTTGACCGCTTAATTTTACGCTTTTAACGGCAGATAGGACCTAATGGAAACTAATTTAGGTAAACTCTTATATTTTTCACGGCGTCGAGTATGAAGATGGCTGTCTTCTGGGATGTTGCGCCTTGTGTTCTGGTAGATTTTGAACGATGTTTCAAAGGCACTTCATGCTTCCATCATCAGGGCTATGATTGGCGGAACACTTCAGGATACAACCATCCTCGAAAATTAATTTTGTTACAAACACCATGGAACAAAATGGTTCTTGATAAGCTTGTGGTCGTTCAGCTAGCCAAGAACCTATCCGCCTTTTATGGAGCCCAGAGGTTTATTTTAAATTCAGAAGGTTGTTATGCTGAGCTAGATAAGTCCAGTTCACACAGTTCAACCCTATTTCTTTAAGATCCACATCTTAGTGTTTTTCGCGACTTAACATGAGCGATGAACACATTTTGGACTCTGTGTGTCGCGTTTTCTCCTACGAACTGTACGACACGCATAATGGGAGGGCATTGTTGTAACACAGTGTTGCGACAGTGGAAACAGTTATAGTTATTGTTGGGGGTTCTTTATATAGTTATTGTTGGGGGTTCTTTATATAGTTATTGTTGGGGGAACTTTATATAGTTATTGTTGGGGGTTCTTTATATAGTTATTGTTGGGGGAACGTTATATATTGTTATTGTTGGGGGTTCTTTATAAAGTTATTGTTGGGGGTTCTTTATCTAGTTATTGTTGGGGGTTCTTTATATAGTTATTGTTGGGGGAACGTTATAAAGTTATTGTTTGGGGAACATTATATCAACTGTGAAAACAACCATGTGTTAGATCACACAGCGCAACAATAACCTTGGATACCATTCTTGCCGTTGTTATTCCTTTCGAGTAGGAGTATGATGGCAGTTGCTTTGAGCTGTGGTTATCGACGCCGCAACTTGCCGACGTCGCGTCCCGTAAAGGATGTCGTTGGCATTTTAGTCGTGAAGAGACTGAGGTAAACCAGTAGAGATCCCTGACATGTGGGCCGAGAATCGATCCTAGAAACTTAGAATATGAATCAGAATGCTAACTACTCAACACTCGTGCTCGGAATCAACATCCGATAGCTGTTCCCTTTCGTGGGCCCACCGAACGGTTTCTGAGTCCATTGAAGGCTCGTGACTTCCGCGTTCTTAAGTTCATTCCGCGACGCAATTAGCACAGAAATGGAAGCTGCAGAACAGTTGCAAAAAACACTATTCACTGCGCAGTTGTAGTGGAACGACCAGACAAGCATAATGGCGATGTTTTTCGTCTGTTCCTCCAGGCAAATGCAGAAATTATATAATAGGCCGCGGCTGCTTTTTAATCATCTTTCCAAACTTTATCCTTTCGTCTCTTTTCCGACTGTCTGTTTATTATGCGATTCGAACGGCGTGTTCTTTGTGCGAATGACATAAAATTATCACGTGATGGAGAGTCGCTCAAATTTCGTCTAAAAATATATGCAAATGATTTTTAACAGCTAGAGCAGAGCGCTCCTTTCGGAGCTCCGCGGGGGGTTGGTCAAGTTCTTGAGTAAGAAACTAAACCAACCCCCTCGAAGGGGGGTTGGTTGCGTTTTAAAATCTTGAGTAAGAAACTAAACCCCCCCTCCCGAGTAAGAAACTAAACTGACCCCCACGAAGGGTTGCGTTTAAAAATCTTGAGTAAGAAATTTTCATACTCACCGCTGTAAAAACCTCAAATCATACATAACCTATTCTTCGTATCCTTAATACTGAAAAATTACTAGGCTGAAAACTTTGACAAATTTTCTTGAATTAACACCTGTGTTTATTTTCATCTAATGCTGTATGATCCTTGCCCTCACAAACTTTTCACTTTTTTGCATTTCAAGTGCAGTAAAATTATATAGCAGGAGGAACAAAAGACGCGAGCACTTGGGATTTGCATACGCAGTTGCGGGGATGAACATTTCGTGCACAAAGAGTTTCTAATGAGGTCAGTAAAGAAACAGCAGGGAAAAAATTGTAGGCTTGCAAGTAAATGCGGAAGTTGGGACGAGGCATAGTGTTCGCATGTGGGCGACATTCATGCAAAAGAAATCAGAGTGACGGATTAAATGACTAGACAAAAACATAGAATGAAGGATTTGTCTGCGCAGTAATGTAGGGCAGATGAACTAGTCTTACAAGGACTGACTGGGAAATAGGAGTTTGTAATTGTAACTTAAAGAACTTAGAATTTGTACAGGAAGACGATTGAAATGTGACACATTTTTTAAGCTGAGTTCTGTGCCTGTTAATTATTAATATAAAACATTTTTGAGATGGTAAAGTTGCGTCATATTGTGATATAATAAATATATATTATTTAAATCTTGTCCGTCTAATCACAATAAATTCTT